CGTAGAGTCGTCATCAGCTAGTTGCAATATACTGCCTGAGACCGTTACACCGACGACTTCAACCACTAGCGGAAGACCCTGTTTACAGACAAGACTCTGAAGAGGCACGAGGATCTGAGTAAGGCAAGGAGTTCACTGCTAGTCCAGATCCAAACTAGGGCCGTCGGCCTTCAGGATTTTCTCTTTAAGCGGAGTATTCCGGAGGTTTTGACACCCAGCTGCGAGTATGGGGGAGGACAAGAGACTGCCGAACAGCTGGTGATAGGGTGTCTAGCACTACTGTTAGCTCGAAGATGGGAGAGAGCCGAGATTCGAATGCGAAGGCATTTTTACTCGGTTCTGCAGAAAATTAGTCCTATAGCTCTACGGCTAACGTGAAGGATTCGTAGCTGGCTGATAGACTCGGGGAGGCGACCGATATACAATCTAGCTACTAGGAGGCTGGAGCTAGAGCTCGTGGTCTAATATCTCCTCCTTCGAAGGTTAGGAGGCCTTCTCTCTTTGCATTTGCAGAGTCACTCACTGATCGTTTTGTCACGGGTCGTGACAGTGTGAAGTTCATGTGCGCAACTCCTGGTTCGACTGGACAGTCCGAACCACGGTCCCTCTTTTGAGGATGTTACGCAGTGGTCAGTTGCGCCCACCCGTGACACGTTTCCCTGATTGCCGATATGGGTTTTTCATCCGACTCGCAAGAGTATAGTTTTCCTGTATAGTAATAGTTTGAAGGTCCGACACGGCCTAGGGCATACCGGTGTAGGAATAATGATATCATCGAGATCAGCGAGCTAAATCCATTGGGAATTGGCGAAGCCGGAAGAGTATAGTTATTTCGCATTATATCTTCAGTTCTACTACTTTGCTTTGTTGTGCACGAGTTTGAAGACGGGAGCCATCTCTTATTGCAACCATGGTGTTGAAAGTCGCGGTACCCTGAAACGCTCGTTGCTTGAAGTTATGGAACCTGAAACTCGGAAGCTGGGTTGCCGATGCTCTACTGTTGAGAAGTAAAACAGGGCTTGAGAACAAATTATTTGACAGGATCAGGAGATGAGAGAGTTAACCAGAGTCTAATGCCCTCCTCTTGCAGGACCGCCCATCCTGGACATAGAGCCTGTGCCTGGCGATAAAACGGCCGTTGGAGTTTGGTACAAAGACGGCACCCAACTCGGCCAATGGAATACGTTCGCCTCTTTGACATACCAGGAACGTTCTCTGGCAATATTCTCGCCCTGAGCGCCTTCTGTCGGCGGTGAACAACTCGGAATTTGTCAGGGCCCCCACCATGAGCCCTACACTTGGGCAATTGGCGGGCGAGACACTGTGGATTTCTGTTGGAAGACCAACAGCCACGATTCCACGGTGATCACACAGATGATGGGAGCTTACAACAGTGGGTTT